TTCAGCCAGATAATGGAGTTATTTTTCAAATAACTCCCGTTATTGGATGCTTCGCATCCAATAACTATATATTATTAATCAATTGAATTTAGAGTAGGGTCCCTTATATTAAACTTGATCCTTACTATTACTCTTTAATAGATAATTGAACTTGCCAAGAGGAATAAAAAGAATGTTAGAGTGATTGGAATGGTTCATTCACCTTCGGATCTGCCATTTTCAGATGGGTATATAATTTGTATGAATAAATTAAATAGAGTCACATCTGTCTTCTACAGTGCAGGACAGCAAAAGATATATATCCAGTTTTTATATATAACTTTTTTAAACAGGCTAAAGCAAATATCCCTCTTACAGTTTTGTAGTTCTTATTTTAATAACAAATGATTTTTTTTTTTGTAATTTTAAAAACACCATAACAGTTTAAAACATATATATGTTAGGATACGTTAGGAATTAGCGTTTTTTGCTTAATTTTGATTGTTAATATATATATATATTACAAATTTTTAAATTTAATGCTTTTACTAAAAGTGGTTATCTTTTACTGTCTTGCACTGGATTAATTACTGCTTATATATATTTATAAAATTTAAACTTATAAAGGTCAATCTGGAAAAAAAGACTGTGACTGTAGAAGCTGGAATTGAAATAACGCAATTAAATGAAAAACTTTCGAAATATGGGTTGGCATTGAGTAATTTGTGTTCTATTTCTGACTTGACTATTGGTGGAGCAATTTCTACTGCAACTCTTGGAACTGGAATTAACTTCGGGTGCCTTAGCACACAGGTAGCATTATAGTAAATATAACGATGTATAATAACGAATGAGTTTCATCGGAAATAACAAAATGGCTTTGAATTTTCATAATTCTATACGTAGATAAAGTCTTTAACATTGCTTACCGATTCTCACGGTAAAATGCATTGTTCAGAAACCATGAATTCGGGTGTTTTCAAAGCCATTTTATGCAGTTTAGGCGCATTAGGAATAATTACACAGGTTACGATTCAATGTGAAACTGCGTTTCTTCTTGAAGCGAATCAAACGCCGGCAAAATTAAACTACATTCTGGATAATTTGGATGCTATTGTTCATTCGACTGAACACGTTAGGTTTTGGTGGTTTCCGCATACCGATGATTGTATTGTTTGGAAAGCAAATCGTACAAACAAAGTAGTAAATCAAATATTATCAATGCTTGAGATCATCAAGAGTATTAATTTATAATTAATCAACTTTTATTGTAATAGAAACCATCACCACAAAAATTATCTTACATTCATGATACCTTGTTCGGATTTCATCTCCTTCAGTTGGTCCTTTATTTATCCCGTTTCCGATCATCCACAATTCCAAAAATTAACCAATCAATATTCTCACTTAAATTCTCCAATCCTATTCATTTTATTGACGATTCTCATAAAGTTTTCTGCTTCGATTGTCTATTTTCACAGTATGTGAATGAATGGGCAATACCGATAGAGAAAGCAAAATATGCTATAAGAGATTTACAGAAATGGATAGAAACGAGTGAAATCAGAGCACATTGTCCGGTTGAAATTAGATTTGTTGATCAAGATGATATTTGGCTGAGTCCAGCTTATGGAAGAAAAGTTTGTTATATTGGAATTATCATGTATAGGTAAAATATTTTTATTATTTTAATCGGTTATTCACTGGGAAAAAATGACTATATAAGTTAAAATGATCAAAACTGAATTGTTATCCAATAGTCAGATTTGGATAAACTTTTGTAGAGCACAGTGGGTTCTACAAAACAAAAAAAAAAAAAAAATTTTATCCAACTCAGATCACCAGACGACTAACACATTCAGATCTTTGTCATATAATTTATAGACCCAGAATGTCATTTTTCTATAAATCACACGATTTCTTATTAATTATTTGTGTAGGCCATATTATCAACCTGTGCCTTATAGAAAATATTGGGCTGGATACGAAAGTATAATGAGATCTTATGAAGGACGGCCTCATTGGGCAAAGGTATTTCTTTTGTTCTCTCTCTCTCTTTTTTTTTTTTTTAATTGTTTTACATTACTATATTAAATTTTATCATGCGAATAGACACATACAATGTTCCGATCTGAACTTGAAAAGGCGTATCCAAAATTTCAGTCTTTTATAGAACTTCAAAAACAATTAGATCCCACCGGATTATTTTTAAATCCTTATTTAAAGAGACATTTGTTTGGAGATATAAAAAATCTTAAGTCAAAATTGTGAGAAAATAATAAATGTTATATTGTTTATAAAGAAGTAAAGAATTTGTAATAAAAATATTCTGAGCCGTTGGGTATTAGCGGAAACGTGTACAGGTGCCGCACAAAAAATGAGCGGCAGATCCTCGATTTTGATTGGCTAACGGCCGAGATCTTCAAAATTTTGGCCCGCGTTTACTAATTTCCAGCCGGAATTAGCTTTTTAATTTTTTAATTACATATGGTAAAATTGGCGCAGGAACTATTTTTACTTAATAGGCGGCCGCGGCTGCCTCATTTTTTGATCATCGCTCTTAGCCAAACAAAATCGAGGTCTAAAAAAAAAACATGACCCCGGGTGGACGATTAGGCCACTCCAATTTAATTCTTTGTTTAACATAACAAATTTAAAATTTTTTAGAGGGGGAGGGGGGGGGGGGGTTAAACAACATATAATTATATAGCAATACTTCTTTGCAGACCTAGTTCAAACTATTAATATATATATATTTATTGAATAGATAATTGACTATTTATAAATTTAATATATATTTATGCTATATATATATTTATATAATTATATATTCTACTAATAAGACCACTCCAATTTGATTCTATGTTTAATATAACACAGATATTTTGCAGATCAGTATGGTATAGGTGGGCAGATTAGTATATATAGTATAGACCGATTTTTAAATCTATACTATATAGACTAGGTATTATATATATAAGCGTTATATAGTTTCTATAATTTTGCAAGTCCGTATAGTTTATTTTAAAAATTGGCCTGTACTATACTGGTCTGCTATAATTTTATATAATACTAATAAATGATTTGCAACTCTAAATATGAGAGATGAAGTAAAAAACATAAAATTTGATTGGCTAAAAAAATTTTTTTAAACAGTTAATATGATTTTTATATTAAGTATTGTTTATTACTTTCTTTATCTGAGGTTTAAAAAAGAAGATTATATTAAACATGGTTTTAACTTGGTATGATTTTATAGTTATTGTTATCAAATACTATTTTATATTAATAGCAGTATTTAAAGGCAGCAATCACTTAATCAAATTTGATAAAAATTTTTTTACTTGAATTCTATAAAATTATAAAATTTAAACAAAAAAATTTATTAAATTTAGTTTGGTTGTTAAGATATCTTAATTCATAATTTCAAAAATTTTTATTTTTATCAAGTATAATAGTTATTATATAATCAAAAACCAAGTACAAATTATAATATTATCTGCTAGTCTAACCTTAATTTAAGATAACTCTAATCTGAAAGTTAATTAAATAAATATATATTATAAGAATCTATTTTGTTTTAGATGTTTTTCAAATTTGGAAAATATTTAAAACAAAGATAAATTATGTAATTAATAGGTTTTAGATTAAAGATTACTATAAATTCTTTTTAATCTAATTCCAGAATCAAAAATATTTAATTTTTTTAAACTTCTAGCAAAGATTTCTTAGTAACTATTCATTCAAATTTAGTAAAGTTTTCTATTTTAATTATAAATATTTGTAAAATTAAAATAAAAAAAAGTTTATTAAATTTGGTTTAGTGGTTGTTAAGAAATCTTTACTAGAAATTTTTAAAAAACTTAAAATATTTTGAAAAAAATTAAAATTAGCAAATTTTTTTTTTAAAAAAAATTTAAATAATGATTTTTTAACAACTATATATTCAAATTTAATGAATTTTTTTTTTATTTTGATTCTGCAACTATATAAAATTAAAATAAAAAAAAATTATTAAATTTAATAGATAGATATTGAGAAATATCAATTAAAAGCTAAAAAAGTTTGGCTATAGCTTTTTTTTTTTATAGATATCTAAAATTTATCACTGTTTTCGAAATGGTTGAAAATAGTAAGCTTTACAAAAAAAATTTTTTTATACAAATACCTGAAAACCTAAATAGTTCAGAACACTGATTGATAAATCGATTCCAATTTATATATGCACTTGTATAATTGTTTCAATGTTTTAAACTAATTGGGTTTTCAGGTATTTGTATAAAAAAAATTTTCTTCTATAAATCTTGCTATTCTCAACTATTTCGAAAATAGCAATAAATGAAAATAACTTGTAGTTACAGAATCAAATTTGATCAAAATTTTTTTATTTTAATTCTATATAACTGCAGAATTAAGATTAAAAAAAATTATATTTAAATAAATATCAAGTAATTTTTATTTAAATTTTAGATATCTATAAAGAAAAAAGCTATAGCTAATTTTTTTTAACTTTTAATTAATATTTCTTAATATCTATTTATTTAATTTTAGAATTTTTTTTTATTTTAATTCTTCATTCTTGCAAAATAAAAATAAAAAATTTTTATTGAATTTGAATATATTAGTGTTAAAAAATTGTTATTTAAAGTTTTGTAACAATTTAAAAAAATATATGAAAATTATTTATTTAAATTTTAATTAATAGTTACTTAAAACCATCTATTTAAATTTAATAAAATTTTTTGATTTTGATTTTAAAAGTTTGCTAAATTTAAATAAATAAAATTTACTAAATTTTAGCAAACAAATATCAATTAAAAATTAAAAAAATTTGGCTATAGCTTTTTTTTTACAGATATCTTAAATTTGAATAAATATTACTTAGCATTTATCTAATCATATTCAATTAACTTTTTTTTAATTTAATTCTGTAGTTTTAGAATTAAAAAAAAAAATTTAATTGAATTTGTTCAAATAAATAATAAGTTATCTTTATTAAAAGTTTAAATATCTATAGCTATGGTTAAATATATTTTTTTATTTTTAATTAATTTTTCTTTATATTTATCTATTCAAATTTAATAAAATTTTTTTTATTTTAATTCTACATAGTTGCAGAATCAAAATAAAAAAAATTTATTAAATTGAATATATAATTGAGAAATTATTATTTAAATTTTTAAAAGAAAAAAATTTGTCAATTTTAATTTTTTTCAAGATATTTTAAGTTTTTTAAAAATCTCTAGTAAAAATTTCTTAATGACTACTAAACCAAATTTAATGAACTTTTTTTTATTTTAATTTTACAAATATATATAATTAAATAAAAAACTTTAAACAAATAGTTATTAAGAAACCTTTGCTAGAAGTTTAAAGAAATTGAATATTTTTGGCTCCTAAATTAGATTAGAAAGAATCTATTAGAGTTCTACAATTTGATTTAATTTGATTTGATTTGATCAAATATTTGAACTCAAATTAAATTCAAATATAAAAATTTCAAATCAAATTAAATTCAAATATGATTATATTTGATTTGATTTGATTTGAAAAACTATTATTAAAATTTAAATACAAATCAAATTCAAATTCAAGTTTTTAAAATCAAATTAAATTTAAATTAAAGCAAATTTGATTTGATCAAATTCAAATTGGTCTAATATTTGATTTGATTTAAGTTTAAGAAACTCTAGAATCTGTAATGATCTTTAGCTTAAAACTATTAATTATATGATTTGTCTCTACTTTAGATATTCTTCAAATTTAAAAATATTCTTAACTGCAATATGTTATACAAAAAAATTTTATAGCTTGATTTTATATAAAAATAATCTATATTTACCCTACTACTTGCAAAATTTTATGTAGTTAATACAATATAATAAGCTTTCATTATAATTATTCAATATTTATAAATCATTCTGTAATATTATAAAAATTTAAAATTGTTATAAATAAAAAAAACTAAGTATATAAAAATAATTCTATTTGTAATTAATAATAACTTCAAGGGTAGTTAAGTGTCCTAAAGTAGGGTGCAAAATCCATATTAGGTGATACCAAAATCTAGCATATGAATAGTGAGGAAACCTATTGGGTTAGAGGGCTGATGGAGGTAGTTAGAACCAGATGGTTTAAATGGGTACCCCCCTAGTTGGGGCGCAGGTACGGCAGATAGTGTAGAACCTTCGGGCGGACTATTTAAATAGACACTCAAAAGGTGCATGTGTGGCTTGATGTACCATCGTTGTAATTACATATAAAACTTCGTCTTTACTCTAATAAAAAGTTCCCCAGACCAAAGAGGTCACCTTAATACCAAAAAAAAAAAAAAATAATTAATAATAACTTCAAGCCTAAATCTATAACCTTATTGTAAACAAAATTTTGACAAACAAAAAATTTTATTAAAAATTCTAATATACTACTGTATTTTACAAATCAAAAAAGAAAAAAAAAACAAATCAAAAAATACAATAAATATTTAAATCTATTCTAGAATATTATATAATAAAATAATAGTAATAATAATAATAATCAAAAATAACTTAGGGTGTGGTGACTTAGAGTAGTGGTAGAGTTGTTGCACCCCCAAGCTAGCTTGACTATGGTGCCGAGTTCGAATCCCACTGGTGACATTTTAGACAAAAATACCTGTGTTATAATAACAGATCTTCATCGATAAGTCAGGTTTTATCATTTGTAACTCCGGTCTCACCAATACACCTTGTGCACTGGAAGGTTCTGGAAGCATCCGTGTGATACTTGGGTTACACGGAGGAATACAAACTGGTATAGGTGGTGCAAACCCACGATAAGGCTTCCGGAACCATATAAAACTGATAGAGAGCACTTGAAGATCTGGAACTGGCTTGGCAAATCCCGAGCAAGGAAGTAGTGAGGATCTTTAATAGTAACACAGAACTAAACTGGACTGAACCTTAGAACTGGTGGAATCGGGCGACAAGATCCTAGAGGTGAGATCTACCAACTAGGCCACGGGAGTCGCATCGGAGGAAAAGGACTTGTGCTCTGGAAGCATGTACCAAGAGAAGGATACCCAAATAGCACCTAAAGCCGAGAAGACCAACCCTGCCAGGCTATCTGGATTGGGAGGCTGAGGAAACCAGGGACATGGGGTATGAAGGTGATAAGAAATGGGTACTGGGATCTAAATACCAAACCTTACAAGGGTAGTAGTAGGTAATTGTAGAGATGAATAACTCCTGAGTGTGTGGGTCAAGCCGTAGCATAGATTACCGAAGTCTAGG